AACCAACCCACATGCCCATCAATGATAGACTGGACAAAGAAAATGTGGCACATATACACCATGGAATACAACACAGCCATAAAAAATAATGATGTGTCCTTTGTAGGGACTTGGATGAACCTGGAAACCATCATTCTCAGTGAACTGACACAAGAACAGAAAACCAAATACTGCATGTTCTCACTTACAGGTGGGTATTGAACAATGAGAACACGTGGACACAGGGAGAGGGGCATCACACACTGGGGGCTGTTGGGAGGGCTAGGGGAGGGACAGTGGGGCGGTGGGGAGGGAGGGGAGGGATAAAATGGGGAGAAATGCTGGATATAGTCAAAGGGGGAATAGAGGCAGCCAACCACCTGGCTATGTATGCAGCTATGCAACAACCCTGCATGAGCTGCACATGTACCCCAGAACCTGAAGTAAAATTAAAAAAAAAAAATCCTCAATTCTTCCAAAAAAAAGAAAAAGAGAGAGAGAAAATGATGTCACATATCACCCAATCCTAGAATTCAGCCTCTACAAGCTTCTCTGTTTAGCCCATTGGACAATTAATCAGTTTCAGAACGACTCCTACTGCTTTGATAAGGGTAATAATAAGACAAATATGACTGTCTAGGAGGAGGGGGCATGGAAAGAAGGGAGAAAAAGATTGAAATAGCCTCAGCTTTGTAGAGGGAATGTGAACACGAAAGGCATGTCGTGCTATTTTCCTGGCTGGGGCAAGAAAACAGTTTTAGAGTCAAGAAATATATTTTTTTAAGTTCTTACTATGTGCCAGGCTTTGGATTAGGTTATAGGAATGTAGTGGTAAGAGATAGACGCCATGGGCTTCCTCACAGAGCAGAGAGCTCATGAGAAAAGATGGGCGTTTAGGAGTCACACCTGTGCTATGACAAGCACTGTGCAGGAGGAGCAAGAGCAGGAGCCTTGCCCGCAGCAGGTGGGGCGAGTCCCGGGAAAGCCACTACCACGCAGAAACCCGCAAGAACAACACTTGGTACTAAAGGGAAATAGAAGGATTATTCCATCAAAAGGGAGGTGAACATAGGACTGCCCGGTAAATAAAAAGAAAAAGAGTTTGGTCCTTTTTGGAACTGGATTGCTGGAGCCCAGAGTGTAGGGAAGACATGGATGGGTGTTAAGTGGCTCAGCTGTAAAGAGAGAAAACTGGTTTAGATGCAGATGACTCAGGTGCATTGACGCTAGACCTTTTCAATCTATCCCAGAGTTTCAGATTTCAAAGAAAAAAGGCTGTGAGGCAAACGTTAAAAGGCGAAAAATGTATCTCTCTAGGGAATTGCTCAAAGATGAGTAAAGAAATGAGTTTTAAAGTTCCTTATAATCTACAAAGAATGAAAGCAGATTATTTCCAAAGTTTAAGTTGATGACAGGCTTTTTTTAGTAACCCTCCATCAAAGGTATGCCACACTGAAACGACATAGCTCTGCCCATCTTAATCCTAATTATCTTAAATTTCAGGAACTGTTGGATGCAATAATTCTAGGAAGCTTTTTCAAATAAGACTTAGTAACGGTACAGTGGAACCAGAAGTTCGATAGCTGGTTAAGACAATTGGCAACTGCTACTTATTCCGAATTACCCATTAGATAATTGTGAGTTAACCATATCTTAAAAGTGCATACATTTTGTATATTAATATATAAATGTCCTAGATCCTAGATAGTGTCACTTAAAAAGTAAAAAGTGTGACTATCACAATTGCCTTATAGTTGTGAGCTACCAGAAAGTGTGAACAAGCTGCATAATTTCTTCTACAGATTTTGACATGATAGTAAACACTTAATAACTACTTTTCCAGAATGATAATACAATAAGGTGATAAAATCATAACAAATCTAAACCACAGCCACTCAAAATGAGCTGCTTTCAGCAAATAATAACAAGCGTGAAAGGAGTCAGCAAATTTTGAGAAGCTGGGTAATAACATCATTAGCAACTGATATTGACAATTGGCAATTTCAAAATTTAGCCAGCAGAAATGTATTTGCAGGTCTTCAACAAGGTAGAAATTGGCTCAACAAAAATATTCAACAGAATAACAAACTGCTTTATCAAGATTTTCTTTTTTCTTTTTTTTTATTTTTCTGATACAGAGTCTTGCTCCGTCAGCCAGGCTGGAATGCAGGGGTGCAATCTCAACTCACTGCAACCTCTGCCTCCCAGGTTCAAGCAATTATCATGTCTCAGCCACCACACTGTAGCTGGGATTATAGGCGTGTGCCACCATGCCCCGTTAATTTTTGTATTTCTGGTGGATATGGGGTTTTGCCATGTTGGCCAGGCTGGTCTGGACCTCCTGACCTCAAGGGATTCACCCGCCTCACCCTCCCAAAGTGCTGGGATTACAGGCATGAGCCACCACCCTTGGCCAAGTTTTTCATATAATATATTTTAAAAGAGATTATATCTTTTGTCAATCAAATCAGATATATCCACAGGTCTCAAATCCAAAATCCCATCAAAATCCCCAAGAAATTCATTTCAAATGTAAATTCTAAGACCTCAGTTGAAGATGGTACTACTTCTCTCATCAATTCATATGTCTTCCTGATGGAATACACACAGATTAAAACAGACACACACATACACGGAAAACAGTCAAACAGTACAAAAAGGTATGTATTCCAATAGCAGTCTAGAAATGTGGGTAATACCTTATCATTACAATATGGACAGGCACACACTGAGAAAGTAACGAAGTCCTCTTATGGGTCTTCCCATGGGAATCCCAGAAAAACTGTCAGTTCAGAGTCAACAAATACAAGGGCAGAGATGGACTCAGGATCGTCATGAAGAGACCCCATTCCCCCATGTGCTCCTCCCTTTCTGTGTTAATTGAACAGTGTCAATAGCTTCTGACACCAGTGCTAAATGTTTCTCCATAAAGAAAATGATCTTCTGTCTGAGAAGGGCTTATAGAACCTGAGAGAAACGAAGAGCAGAGTCTGAGGCAAAATCATGCTCCAGCTCCAAGGCGAAGCCTTCCTTGCCTTGGTGAGTTTGGAAATTCATCCAAAGGAATGGAGCATGCAGGCCAGTGTTTGAGCTTTTGCAACCACTATAAAGAAGGACAACAATCCAAACAACTAACACCACCTTAGGCAGAATTCATGGAACAGACACATCAAGAATTTAAAATTTGTGTATCCTCAAAAGCAGACAAGAAGATAGTGGTAATATAAAGAGGAAGTCAAAGACCATTTGGGAAAATAATTATTATGAAAACATGTAATATGTTACAGAATTCATTGATGGGGAAAGTAACAGCACTAGGGATGAAATAGAGAGCTGGAAAATTGATGGAGAAACTGTCCCAGGATTCAGTAGGACAGAATCTAGTACATACCAGAGAACAAAGCTCACACACATGGCATATAGAAATAGATTTGCTGTACCAAGATAACAGAAACTTGAAACAGAGAGAAAAAAATCAAGGAATAATAATAATAGCTTTTCCCAGAATTAAAAATAAAGTTTCAGATTTCAAGATTTCTTGAATTCTAAGCAGGATAGATAAGGAAGGCTCACACCAAGATAAAGGAGTGAACCTTAAGAACAAGGATTTAAAAGATATGAAGTCATCCAGAGAAAAATTAGATGGATGAAGAGATAGATACATAGACAGGATAGAGAGAGACAGAGAGAGAGAGATGATAGATAGATGATAGATAGATAGATAGATAGATAGATAGATAGATAGATAATAGATAGATAAATAGATGATAGACATAGGTAGGTAGGTAGATAGATGATAGATAGATAGATAGATAGATAGATAGATTGATAGATAGATAGATGATAGACAAAATAGGTAGGTAGGTAGATAGATAGATAGATAGATGATAGATAAATAGATGATAGACATAGGTAGGTAGGTAGATGATTGATAGATAGATAGATGATTCATAGATAGATAGATAGATAGATGATAGACAAAATAGGTAGGTAGGTAGATAGATAGATACATAGATACATAGACAGACAGACAAGATAGGTAGGTAGGTAGGTAGGTAGATAGATAGATAGATAGATAGATGATTGATAGATAGATAGATAGATAGATACATAGATACATAGATAGATACATAGACAAGATAGGTAGGTAGATAGATAGATAGATAAATAGATAGATAGATAGATAGATAGATAGATAGATAATAGACAGACAAAATAGGTAGGTAGGTAGATAGATGATTGATAGATAGATAGATGATAGACAAGATAGGTAGGTAGGTAGATAGATGATAGATAGGTAGATAGATAGATAGATAGACAGATAAGATAGGTAGGTAGGTAGGTAGGTGGGTAGGTAGGTAGGTAGATAGATGATTGATAGATAGATAGATAGATAGATAGTTAGATAGATAGATAGATAGATAGACAGATAGATAGCTGTAAAGACAGAGAGCAGATACACAGACAGATGTACATACACATACAGACAGCTCCTGACTTATCACGGTTCACCTTAAGATTTTTCAACTTATGATGGTGCAAAATCCATAGGAATTAAGTAAAAACTGTACTTCCGATTTTGAATTAGATCTTTTCCCAAGCTAGCCACATGCGGTACCAAACTCTTTCCAGATGCTGGGTGACAGCAACGGGACCCAGCTCCCAGGCAGCCACAGGATCATGAGGGTAAACAACTGCTACTCTACGGTTTACTGTGTGGCCAGATAATTATGCCCACCAGTAGGCTAATGTAGATGTTCTGAGCATGTTCAAAGCAAATTAGGCTAAGCTGTGATGTTCAGTAGGGAAGGCATATTAAATGCACTTTGGATCTAGTTTCCACTTAGACTTTTTTCAACTCACTATGAGCTTATAGGGATATATGTCCATCTTAAGTTGATGAGCATCTGTACTTAGACAAGAATAAAAAACTGCTTGACATTAGCCTGCCGGTGGCTACACTATGTGCAAGAAGGTAATAAAGTGGTATTATCAAAAAATTACAGGAGAAAAATAATTACCACACCGACTCTGAAGCTCTGTTTTGAGTAACAGCAAGGAAACCTCTTCCCAATCAGTCATAGCACTGCTCCCTTCACCCCCACATTCAATCCCTTGTCAAATCTTGTGATCCGGCCTCCAGGAAGTCCCTTGAATATAATTCCCCCTGTTGTATTTCCAGTGCTCAGACTCTATTTTGTGCCCAGAAAACAACTCCTGCAAACAATCAGTTGCAAGGATCTCCTAGCTCATTCCCTTGCACCCAGCCTCAGGCCCTCTAAGTTGCTTTCAAAATTGTCTTTCTTTCAAACCATTCTTATTATCCTCCAGCATACTAATCACTCCCTCCCCGCAACAGGCACACGTGGGAAGGGCCTCCCTGGCCCACCCAGCAGTCCTCTGCTTCTCCCTTTCTTGTTCTCCCAGTAGGCTTTCTGATTCTGGGTTAACATCGAGTGCAACTGACTTTGTATTATAATTATTTGTTTAAATATATGACTCCCAACTAGATTGGGAACCTCAGATGAACACTAAGCTTAATTCCCTTTCAGCTTCACTAAAGTGAACATCCCTTCTCTTCATATTTTAGCTTAGACGGTGCTGAGTACGTGTATGCAAATGTTTTTAAATGGCAACATATCTAAGAAAGACACCAGGAATTTTCCCATTCAGGGTATCTATCTCCATTAAGTCCTGTGCAAAGATAACAGCATTTCTGTAATAAACACGGCCCAGTGCAGTTGAAAAAGAAAGATCTGCTAGGGTGGTCACTCATTTGCATGCAGGGGACATGAGAACGTGGCAAAGGAGACGCTGTAAATCACCCCAGAGCTGGGAGTCAGGGCCTCTCAGAACGCCTGGCTCAGAATTATTAATTAAAGCTTCCTCAAGGATGGTTTGTTTGCACATCAGTTGATCTAAGCCACACTGGTATCCCTGTAAATAATAAGACAGCCCGATTAGGCCTAGCCATTAATTAAGTGTCTTTGCTGTGAATAAACAGCGAAATCTTTCAGTCTGAGAGGGCCTATGGCACGGTGATAAATGTGCAGCTGTTGACACTCCTGTAACACAGGCTGACATCTTCATCAGTTCATGGGAGCTCCCTCCCCAAAGACACAAGGTGCGTGTCATGGGAAGATGGCACCTTCTGCCACACTTGGCCCCTAAAGTTATGTCATATGCAAGTTTACAAATAATCAGAACAAGGAATAAACAAAAGGGAAAGCTGTTCAAGCCCTTAACTGTGACCCTCAACTGTCACATTTAATTGACTGAGACACTGGTGTGTTTGGGGTACACAAATTTGGATAACAATAATATAGTGCTTTTACTTTTATGAGAATGTACAAGTCTTTTATTTTAAAATATGATTTGGGGTCCAATCACAGACTCTTCCGAAACTGTAGGCTGTTTTCTAAGTTCAAAAAGAAAGCTTCAGCAAATGCCTTCAAACTAATGAAAACAGGAGCTAATATGTATTATGTTTATACCATTTGAAAAATAGTTCTCTCTGCGTCAAGTACTAAGTTCCCTTTTATTTTGCTGCCTATAGAAGGGCTTTGTAAACTGTAAAATATACACAAAATGGAAAGAACTGATTTTTTATCACAATTTCCCCAGGAAGCTCCATTGCTAATGGGGGTTAAGTTACAGCATTGGTGAATCAAGTTAACCTTCTAGAACCTAGAACCTTCTAGAACCTAGAATTCTCAAATTCCTCCAACATTCACCTCTATTACAACATTTTCCAGAAAGCCATTGGCGAGAATAGCAGGATGGAGGAGAAGCACCGCTGTATTCATCACTACAAAACTCCAGAACAAATTCACTGACAGCTATTGTTAGGTGATTTGACTTCCTCCCAAGGAGGATTGTTGCCTTCTGCTGACTTCTGCTCTATCCCTGGAGCCCAGATCTCACAGTTTCTAGTTCGGAGTCTGGACAGACTTTGCAGAGAAAAGTAGGAGGTGCAAAGACTTCTCACCCTGATGTTTAGGATGAAAGAGATGAAGGGAAGAGAGGACAGTCAGCCATCCAGGCAACAGGGGTTTGTTCACCAAACAGGTGAAAAACAGGAAGTCCAAGCGCAAGTGAACCGAGCTTCTGGGACTCTTGCCAGCCTTGCCTTGGCACAGCCTGCATCTGAGATTCTGCCCCATCAGATGAGCCACTCGTCCTCGGAGAGGTGACGATGGTGGGTAAGGCTGGACTGATATGACCAACCTCACATTAGAGTTTCTTGCATTCATCTTTTCTGTCCCCTACCAGACTTGAGTTCCTTGAAAACAAGCCACACATCCCTTCATCTCTGCACCCCCTCCAGAGTCTTGCACAGTCTTCATTGTCATCACATGCAAGTGCATGCTGCATTCAGGAAGGAACTGGGAATGGACGGGTAGTGTGCTGTGAATATGGCCACACTCGGTAGATCGCTGGTCACACGGACAGTGGAAGGGGATTTTCTCAGAACCACCAAAACCAATGTTCCAGGCTCACCCAACATAATTTAACTGAGAATCCCTGGTTCTAATTTGAGGCACCTGATATGTAAAGGAGAGAGCATGGGATGGAGGCCCTGGAGGCTGTATTTATTATTCAACGGGGCAGGAGCTTGGGAGAAGACACTGGTGTCCAGGAGAAGAGTTCAGGCCAGTGAATGAAGCCCCATCATGAGCCAGGAACTAAACTAGTCCTGGCTGAAAATGCAACCACAGCAGACACTTCTGCCTCTCAAGGGGCTTACAGTTCAGCAGGGGAGAGATTTATATAATACGTGTGAGACAAAGTCACAAGTGCGAGAAGCCATGTCTGCTCATTTCTGCTTGTCAAGATAATTTCACACAGCCCCTAACTCTGTGAGGCCATGTGCTTGTTTGGGAAGATGCTTTGAAGACAAAACAGGATGGAGCACATGGACCCCACACCTCTTGCCTGAGTCACTACACTCCTTAAAAAATGCATGACGCTAGCCTTGTCTTTTCCTACACAGAAGATAACGTTTGACAGGGTTAGTGACTGTGAGAGATGGGAAAGTTCTTCTTCAAAGTTTGTATCTTAGACTGTATTATAAGGAGTTACAATCTCTCACTCTGGGGCTGTTACCCGCTATTAGCATAAACATATACCCATGTATATACATTCTCTACATCAGCTTCGTCTTAAATCAGCTACCTTGACTTGCTCCGGCATGTCTGAACAGGCCTGGGCATGCTCCAAACCCTGCTGCATGCCGGTCCTTATTTGGAAACCCTCCTGACCTTCTCCTGACTAGCTTCCTCTTCTTCCTTGTCTTCTCCCTCATCTTCTTATTTCCCCTTATCTATTCAGAAAATTTAGCCAATTGGGTCAAGCATAGAATGTAAGGTCCCATTCTGGCCAATGGAAACTGGACACAGCAGTAGGGTGACAGTGTCAGGTATAAAAGTTATAAATGTCCCTGTCTCCCTTGTTCAGGTGTGTGCTCTTGTGGCAAGACTTCCAGCAAGTTGCATCCTTCCTGCAGGAAGCAAACTAGTCTTGCTGAGTGACCTTTGTCTCGGTGTGGACTTTTCCTGACATTATAAACCCGTTTCCAACGGTGACTATGCCTCTGTAATCCATAACTAAATGTATTTTAGTCATCTGTAACCAGATATCCTCCTGTACTCCGACTTTCATGTGAGTTTTCACATACTGAACCTCCAGCAGCCATCCATAAACAGTGAGCTGAAACATCATGTTGGCGCCTCCGATGGAAACACTCCTGGGCCATAGGCCTCCATCTATAGTCCTTGGTAAGGCTTCTGAATAAAACTAACTTTAATTCCTTAAAAGCTTGATTTTTTGTTCTTTAGTTGTCACATAACAATCCAAAGATTCGTTGCAAAACATAGGCTGGGAGGGTGAGGAGTGGGGCCGTCGCTCTTTTTAACTGAGGTGATCTGAATAGATGTTTACGGTGTTAGTAGCTGAATTTAAGGATTCTGGGACATTAAGAAGAGAGGTGGAATTCTAATTTGAGTGAGAAGCAATATAAATAACAAACAGAATGTGAACATCGCATTAGGGGAAGAGAGAAGAAGAAAAAATAAGATCAGTCTCCTCTAGTGCAGAGTAAAGGATCAGAGAAAGTGTAAAGAAGGGTACACCGAGGTCAGACTGCAGATGGCCCCTGGTGCCCGGTGAAGTTGCTTCGATGTATACATGAACAATGGAGTGACAGGATGAGAATCAGCCTCAGTGTAAAACGAAGCAGGGGGAGAAGGATGGGTGTCAGGAGATGGTTAGGAAGCCATTGCGATAACCCAAAGTGAGTGGATCGAGGCAAGAACCAAGTTCATGCCATGGGCTAAGAGGAAATGATGAAGCAAGAGACCTTGAGAAGAAAGAACCCGCAGCGGGAGGAGCGAGGAGCAAAGCCTGAACAGCGGTCTCAGGTCTATGGGCAGGGCAGGCAGACTCAGGGCGGGCAGACACCCTCACGCTCTCACATGGCTGAGGCATCGACCTGGGGTGCATCCACAAGCCCAGTCCAGGTCCTTTCCCTGAACATCTTCATTTGGTAGGCTTGGAATATATATTTTAGCAAACATTCCAAAGGTAAACAACCCACTACAAAGGGGTTGTGGAGACCAAGCCTCCAAGTAACAGGCTTCAGAGAGAATGGCCCTTGGATCACTCTTCACTCTAGAGTGTTCTAGAGAAATTTTGGCTTAAATTGTGAGTCATAGGAAAATATATTTTTGTATCCTCAAAGATCCCAAAGACTCTCTGGTTGACACACCCAGAACCCCCAGACAGGGACCTAGACTTCAGACTTTTCCGTCTCTTCCATCCCAAACAAATGTCCCCGCATCCGTCTTGAGCTGGACCCTCCTTGGCTTGGTTTCAAAGTGACGACCCAGAAGCCAATCTCTTCCAGCAAGCATTGATGTTGGTGTCCCTCATAAAGAACCTCACCTGGTTTGTCATGTCTCTTTCCTCTTCATGTCATATTGAGTTGTCCTTATCTTAATAGACAAGAAAATTAGGGAAGGCTTTTAACTTCAAATTCCATAGACTTGTGTGAACCCAAGAGTATCTGAAACAGGTCTTAATTAATTTAGAAAGACTATTTTGCCAGCGTTATGGATGCACCCATGACATAGCCTCAGGAGGCTCTGATGACATGTGCCGGACCTGGTTGGGCACAGCTTGCTTTTATACATTTTAAAAAGACATAAGACATCAATCAATATATGTAAGATTTACATTGGTTCAATCTGGAAGCATGGGGCAACTTGAGGCAGGAGCTTCCTACTTTCCAGGTCTAGGTACATTTTAAATTTTTTCTGATTGACAATTGGTTGAAAGAGTTATTTGCAACAGAAAGGAGTGTCTGGGTTACAAAGGGGTTGTGGGGACCAAGGTTTTATCATGCAGATGAAGTTTCCAAATAGCAGCCTTCAGAGAGAACAGACTGTAAATGTTTCTTATCAGACCTAAGGTCTGTGTGGATGTTAATGCTTGCGGGTATAATGAAGGCTGTCCCAACCCCTCTTCCATCACAGTCTGAACTAGATTCTCAGGTTAACTCTGGAATGCCTTTGGCCAAGAAAAAGGGTCTATTCAGAAGGTTAGGGGACCTTAGAATTTTATTTTAGGTTTCACTTGCCACCATAATTTGTTGGATTTAGGAGTAACAATTTTACAGGATCTTTCTGCAGAAAAGAGCTGTTTCTTGACCCACAGTGGCAGGAAGATGGAAGGGGTGTGGCCTTACGGCATCCTTCCTATCCCACCATCATGACTGAATTCTTCATTGCAGCTGTCTCGATGCAAATAAAGTGGAGGGATAAGCTTGATTTTCAAGGGTGCCACCAGTTCAACTGAATTTTTTACAGGAACAAAGGTAAAACAAACCAACATAAACAGCAAAAGAATACCTCCAACCCCCTGAGATAAGTGGACCTAAGGATTTGTTGGGTAGAGGTGAACAATCTCTCAACCTGTCTCACCCTACCTCTCACGACCTCACTCCAAACCTGACCTGTATCCAAAATTGCATCTCATTCTACAGAATATTAGCTAGAATTTATATTTGCTAAGGTTACATTAAGGGCATTCACATTTTTTTCAATAGCGAAAAGCCACATTATTAAAACCATAGTAAAAAAAAATACTATTGACATAAGTAAATAAAGCTTTCATTTATTTGTCATTTAATAGTTTTCAAGCCATCTGCTTGAAAACAAAAAATACAAACAGGATGAAAAAGTTGAGAAGATGAGGCTGGCCACTGTCTTAGTCCCTTCAGGCCACTAGAACAAAAATTTTATAAACTGGGTAGTTAGAAAGAACAGAACTTCATTTCCCACAGTTGTGGAGCTGGAAGTCCAAGATCAACACCCTGGCACAGTCAGTGTCTGGTGAGGGCTGCTTCCCAGTCCACAGATGATGGCTTCTTTCTGTGTCCTCATGAGGTGGAGAGGTGGAACAAGCTCCTCCATGGTGGGTTTCTTGTCTAAGGGTACTCATCCACACTCAGGAACTCATCACTTCCCAAAGCCTCCACCTCTCAGTATTTCACATTGGAGTTACTACTTCCACATACGTTAAATACAGTAGGAGATTCTTCTTCAAAGGTTCGGCTTGCTTAAGTTTGCTTGTTCTCTGTTCCCCGCTTTCAAGGCGAGACTTTCTTACCCTCTGTGTCCCCCCAGGCCTGGTAAACAACCTTCCTGCCAGTCTGTTTCTATAAAGCCCACATTCCACTCTGCTACCCACTCTGTGAATTACCCCTCCCACGGCAATGGCTACTCCTGCTGAAACTGATCTTCCCACCTTCCCGCTGGTGTGACCACATTCCTGCACTTTTCCAGTTAGCCAACTGGGTTCAGCTTAGATTGTGCTGTCCAACCCTAGCCAGTAGAGGAACAACACAGCAGTAGGGGCTACCTGCATCAGGGATAAGAACCTCTTCCCTTCCCCTGTTCAGGTGTGCTCTCACCATTGCTCCATCCACAAGGCATACCCTTCTATAGAAGTAAATTGTCTTGCTGAGAAAATTATTTGAGTGCTAGTTCTTCTGTTCAGCACTGAGGAACAAGCATTTGTTTCTAAGAACATACAAGGTTTTTGGGGACACAAGCTCATCTCCTTTACCTAAGTGAGTAAACTGTAACACAGAGCAGCTAAAAATGTTGCTTAGCTTCAGGAGCAGGATTTGAGCCAGGCCTGTCAGACTTACAAAGCCTGCCCGCTTACAACTTCTGTGGAAACCGGCATCAAGAGGACAAGCTGAGTAACTTTATTTAGATTTTAGGAGCAACAGAGGTGAACTAGAAGGATGCACATTTGACATGAGTATTGGACTTGACAAAAAGAGGTAATTCGAGTGTATCTGGAAGCTCCAGTCATACTTTATTTTTGTCATGACTCTTTATAATGACCCAATAGCTTACTGTAATTCTAGTGGAATGAGACTTGAAATATTTGAATTTATGTGTGGGATCTCGTTCTGCTTCAGTGACAATTGCCCTTGACTGGAGCCTGCTGGCCTGATCCCCCAGCTCATCATCAGGCACCCAGAGGGAGCATCGGCCAGGACCTGGTTCAGCTGGTGTTGCCAAACAGGTAACACTCCCTTTGCTTAATCCTTCAGGAAGGTTGTACCGTGTATATATATATATATATATATATATATATATATATATATATTTTTTTTTTTTTTCTGCTATGCAATCTTCTCATAGTGGGCTCAAGAAGTGTAAGACCAAAACTTCAGGAAGCATCACAGAGGCCTGAACGTCTACTGCAGAGCTCATCCCATCCAAAAATCCCTCTACTTGCCTCTTTTGTTTCTACCTGGCCTCAGCTGTCCTCTAGCCTTTTTGTATTTTGCTCTTCTTGTGGTTAGATATCAGCTGCTCAGCAGTCTTCTATAATTACAAGACTCTGAAAAAACAGTTTCCACTGTGGTAAACTCATAAAAGCGGGTGAAATGCCTATTCCTTAAATCAGAAAATCTCTGCTTCAGAGATGTGTGAAGTCTCCATCAGAAGTTGCAACCTCAGGTTTCAAGCACTAAGAGATGTCTGCACAAAAATATCAGCAGGCGCTCCTCTGCCCTTGTGAATGCAGGCCCATTTCCTTCCAGGCACACTCCTGAGTGCGTGCACCTCCCACGCACCGCAGACCTGAAAGGGAAGCTGGACCCGGCAGGCGCCTAGTATCAAAAGGCCACACACTTTGAGAGGAAAACAGGGACTGACCCAGAAAATGCTCCAATCCATTTGCACTAACAGCTTCTTCCTCCTTTGCCATTTCTCCCTAATGGCTAGTAGCCCCAGACGCTAAAAATAGCCACCCTTCCTAAACACTGAGTATCCCAGATTTTGTTCTTCATGCAGCATCTGGCGATGGAACCGCCCGTCCCTGATATTCTCCATGTTTAATCTGCAGATTTTTTTCATTTATAGGATGGGGTTGGAAGGAATTGGGTATCACAGCAAAGTCAGTTTATGAACTTGTCTTCTTGAGGGACACAATTACAGAACCTATAGAACAGGTAAGAACAGTGGTGCACTGCTTCCTTTACTGTTTCATCTGAGTTCACATTTCACATCTCAGAATGCAGGAAGAAAGGGTTTCTGATGTTATTTGACCCAATCCTTGCTTCAATTCTCCTGACATCTATCTCCCCTGTGTATGAAAAGTTTCTTTTGAAGTCAGAACTCCAGGCATGGAGGAAGAAGAAATTCGTCGAGAGAGCTGAGCTCAGAAAGATTAAAATGTAGAGTTTTAATATAGCTGTAGCTGACACCTGTCAAGGAGATAAAAGGAATACTTTGGATTCTAAGAACAGTGCCAGGACTATGAAGCACTACTTTTAAAACACATATTATTGAGTGAAATTTTTACAAAAAAAAAATCAATATAATCAACCATTCTAGTAAATGGATACATTGAGAGAATGTACTTGGCTCTAGAGTATTTATTTTTTTAAGAGAAAAAAAAAGAAAGCCTTCACTGAACGCATTTTTTATATGTTTTCTAATAGGCAATATTTCTAAGTGTCCTTAACCTAGAGATTTTCCTTTTCCAATTTTATCTACAGCTATTCCCACGTAAACAACTTTCTTAACTCTAAATGAAAGTTGATAAGTTATCCGTATATTACTAACATAGTTGCAATAGAATATCAGAGTCTCAAGATTTGAGAAAATAGAAATCTAGAAATGACCAGTTAACTTCTCTCCAAAAAAGAACAATTCTATTAAAAATCCTCCCTTATGTAGAAAATAATAATGAAATCCTGAGTCATGTCAACATGTAACCCTTCTCACAAATATTTCCTTTTACACTCAACTCCTGAAACTACAGAATGCATTTGTAAGAGTTTTACTATCAAATCAAATTTCTTTATGAATATTCTAGAAAGTTATTGCCAAAAACAGAGGTCAGTTTGTGCCTTCCAAATCTAAGGATTAGATTTAAAGGTATTTTCATGACTTGTTTGCCCTAAATTTTCTGATTTGTTTAATTATAAGGAAAATTCAAGTATCATAAAGAAAAAATTTCAATTTCAAAACATTACAAGTAATAAGTTATATTAAAATATTATAATAACAATTATTGTTAACCAGGAAATAGCACCCTGAAGCATGAAGTTCAGGCTGAATAAATATTTCTTTCTGTTGTTTCATCAACTCAACGCTTTATAAATTATGATTGATTTTGCTGGATACAGCTTTAAGGTTGACATTTTCTTTAATTTATGCTCAGGAAAAGAAAGTGGAGATTTAAGATACTATTCCACCCTCTCTCCTTCTTTTTCTTTTCTTTTTTTTAAGAGACAGGGTTTCACCGTATTGGCCAGCCTGGTCTTGAACTGCTGGCCTCAAGTGATCCGCCTGCTTCAGCCTCCCAAAGTGCTGGGATTACAGGCATGAGCCACCACACCCGGCCGATACTGTTCCCTTTGCTCAGCATATGAGAACATAAAAACTGAAAGGACAGATGATTTTAGGGAGAGGTAATGAGTTCTTTTCACCAGGCAGAGTTTGAGGTGTCTCTGAGTCATTCAAGGAGACATGCACACCTGATAATAGACTGGTCTGGTCTGAAGCTTGGAGGAGCAGAACAGGTTCTGGACATGAACTTGGGAGTCCTGGGCATTGATGATGGCTGAAAGCCTGAGAACGGGGAGATTCCCCAGCAAGCAGGCACCAACAGGGAAGACATGAGGGCACAAGTGATGGTGCCACAGTTGAATGAGCAGAGGGGAGAGGACTGCAAAGTAGATGGAGAAGGAAGCGGTGGCACCATGGGCTCAAGGAAAGGGGCCTCCAATAGGAAAGAGCGCCCCATTGTGTCTGAAGCTACCGGGAAGTCAAGCAAGACGGAATCGAAAACTGATTGTTGAAATTAAGAAAAGCTCATTCATGGCGAATGATTTGTTGAAAGCAAAGCCAGATTCTCTGGCTGTGGTAGTGACTGGCAAGAAAGGATGGGGAAGTTGGAAGCATAAATTGCTCTTTTGAGACGTCTGGCCGTGAAGAGGAAGAGAGAGATGGGGCAGGTGTTTTTGAGGGAATGTGGTGGTCAAGGGAAGACTGATGCTACTTGTTATAAAGGAAGAGTCTACAGGTAGAGGGGCACGGGATGATCAGAGACAGGCTCTTTGAAAAGTCACAGCAAGATGGGATCCAGAGGCAGTCAAGCACACACTTCGTTACTGATTCCACCTCCCTCTAGTTACGCACTTGGGCAACTTTCTGCATCTAGAGTAGAGATATTTGCATCTATCGCAAAGAGGCAGGGTGAGAGGTGTATGCATGAATGCCAATTGCACAGTGCCTGGCACATGATAAACACATCAGAGGCTGCCCTGGGACTGGCAGGTCATTGGTTAGTGATATGCCGTGACTGCGATGCTCATGGCTGCGGGGGAAGCTACAGGGTTAGTTAGTAAATTACAGAGGAACCTTTATACTCACATCATGACTCCAGCTTAATATCTCCAGCTGCACTCAAGAGATATTAAGACTATGTTGAACTAAATAAAAATAACAATACATTTTGTCAAAATGTGTAGTATGCAGCAAAAACACCACTTAAAGGAATGTTTGTAGCACTGAATACATATATTAGAAACATAA